TTTTTTATTTTCGGCTGCATTTGTTGCCATTTGAGGCAATATGTGGTTAAAAACAGAACTACTACTATGACCATTTGTAACATTTTCAACCAGTACTGGATCCCCAGGCACAGGTGTTTTACGAACTGTATCGTTATTGGAGGATTGAAAGGAGATTTGCAGCAATGAAATATTATTTAGGGTAGCTGAAGCCCAGTAAAAGTACTGCTGGCTGGGAGAAGGCAGTTTTTTGCTAGAAGCAGGGGTAGAGGAAGCTTGCTGTGAGCTTGCACTAAGCATAGGCTTAAGCAAAGCGTCATCAAAGGCCAGAGTTGTAACATGCAAAGATTGAATAGGAACATTTTCCAAGCGCTTACTAACATAATAATCAAACACCTTAGTAACAGGAAAAGCTGGCCGGATTCCCTTTGCACTAGAGACAGTAACGAGGCTTTCTTGAGCACATGTATCCTGCTTAGGAATCTCATAATTAGAAATGGATGTAGGAGGTTCAGTCATTTCATTTTCAGTATTTTCACTGAAAGCAGAAATTTGCAGTCCTTTGTCATATCCATGCATTACACTATTTTGGGGAGTCATCTCAACCTCACCTGGGAATACAGGTGTGCTGCACATTACTTCACTGGAAGGAACATGCAAAGAAGCTTTCAGTATCGACCAAATATCTGTGTCAGGCAAAAGGGACTCACTAGCAGAACGAGTTTCAGAGCAATCCATTTCACTAGAAAGAAAACATGGAGGCCGCAGAGAAGTATCAGCTTGCGAGACTGCAGGAGAAGGCTTAGGCACCAGCATATTGCTATAGCTGCTAAACAAGGGACCCTGATGAAATGTGCCAACAGACTCATGCACAAATTCAGATGTGTAATAAGAAGCAGCAATAGTTTGAGGAGACCCCACATAACCAGATAAAGCATAAATAGATTCAGACATTGTAGACACTGCATGCCCACTGAAATCATTGCTGGGTGGTTCCACTTGAGATAACAAGTGAGTTCTATCATGGCCAAATCTCAATGTCTCTGAAGTAGCATGGACCATCTGATATGAGGTCACATCAGAAAACTGAGAGAGGCGTGATTGGGTTAATGTGCCACCCTCCTCCAATGTCAAAGAAACATGCAGGGACCCTTCATCATTTTCAATAGCTGAAGCAGCTTGTGGAAATGTTTGAGAAACCATATATAAATGGTGAAACATTTTACTACTGGAGGAAGCAGAGGAAAATGGAAGCAAAGGTACATCGTCATAGGAAGACAAGGTGGATTCAAATGACACATCAACACTGGGAAATACAGGTGTAGCATGCAAGGTCACATCACTACTTGATGCTTCAGGGGAAGTGTTGAGCAACTGAGTGTCACACAATAAAGGGGTGACTAGAGGAAACACTTCACTACTGTAGGAAGGTTGAAGTGGTATCTCACCATTGTAAACTGCTTGAGTTGTCTGAGAGAGTACCTCACTTCCAGAAGAAGCAGAGCCACGTTCTTCAGAATTTGACGAGACAGAGTAAGATGATAACTCAGAAGAGGAGAGAGCAAAGGTAGAAGAATGTAGCAATACTGTGACTGCAATTGAAGTATCTTGTGGCCCCACGGGATCATTAGGATAAAGTGCTGTTGTAGGAATAGGGGGGTTAATATGAGAAAGATCCTGGCTATCCAATGCAACAGAAGTACTATCTGTGCTATTAGAATACCACTCGTTTTCACTGATTGCAGGTATTTTGGGGGCAGATTCTTCTGCTTTTGAGGGTAACATGTCTTCTGATAGAATTTTGACATTGTTTTGAGAAAGATCATCCTGCGTGGTTGTGTCTGGACTTCCAGAACTAAAAGTATTTTCCTGAGATGTCTCCATAGTAACTAACTGGGTAGCAGAGGTGATAGGAATGGAACCCCAAGAGTCATCAGTTTCTGGGCCAGGCTTAAAAGCAGATATCTCTATATCATCTGCACTACTATCAGCAGCAGATTCTCTGGTTGTTTCGTTGCCGGAAAAGGTGTGTGCATACTTTTCCTCATTACCTTTGGTGGAGCTGCTTACGGGAGGAACAATTGCCGTTGCTGCTTGAAATTCCATGGGGTTATTTTCTTCCTTTAGTCCTTCAGTGATAGGTGGAGAAGTTTGATGAAAAATTGTTTTGGAACGATCATGTTTTCCGTGCAGGTCTTTTTCTTCTGTAAGATATCTCTGTGTTCCATCTCCATTGAATTTTGTTTCTATTCTTTCCTGACTGTAGCTAGATGTGGTAAACTGGAACTTGCTTTTTTGTATTTGGTTTGTTGCACTATGTCTACTGGCAATTACAGTAGCGTCTTCATCCAACTCTGTCCTTTCATCTTCCATTTCATCTTCCTCCTTTAAAAATAGGCAACCACCATGTATAAAATATAGTTAATGTCCTCTTAAATAATGCCTGAATAAATGAACTAAGCTATTACAAAGAACTGTATTTCTGTAGCTTATAGTAGCAGAGCAGGGATCCCCTGGCTTTGCAGACTGGCAAGGGGAAGGAAAAGGGAATGGTTACATGCAAGTGGCAGGGATGTGCACGCATGTACACGACTCCATTTGTACAAGTGGTGGGCATATGTGCCTGCCGCTCGCACAAATGCAGCTGTGTGGGTGCTCACCTGCTATTTCTGCAGCCCAGTCTTGAATTGACCAAGGCCTTATAATGGGCTGCAGCCTGAGGGCTGGGGACCCTTGTAATAGAGTACTGTGGCCTCTCTCTGGATTATCCTTTGGAAAAAGACATCCAAGTTGTTTTTGAAATTAGCAATATTCCAGAATTTTGCAAACATACATAATGTTTTCAATGATATATGTAATCATTATATTAAGAAATACACAGGGTAATGAACCAGAAAATAATTTCATTTGATGTCATGAATTACATTTTATTCCCATCCAATAATAAGCTCTATGTATAATTATTTCCGTTCTCTTTTGAAGAACAGCATTGGGAAACTTATTTTAAAGAACACATGGCAAAACCTATTTTGGGGTATGGCTGTTTTCTGCATTTTGTATAATGTATATTTTTGAGAAGATGCTTTAGCATCTGTTCATTGATATAAGTCGGTCTGATTTATATAGCCAATCAATAGTCATGTCCTACAAGTGTCTACTGAGATATATGTACTGTTATTTCAATGGATCTACTTTTAGACACATGTTATAGAATTGAAGCCCTGTAATCATTTTTCATGCTTTAATGTAACTTGCCATGTTATTTAGAATGCTTCAGACTGACTTTGCGATAGCTAAATATTTTACTTCAAATGTCCAAATATTCACACTGACTATTCTATTAAACTCAACATTTTTATTTTCTAATAGCAGTAGCATAATAGCTTACAAGATAATGTAATAACAATACCTCATAATCTTCTGTTTCAGCCAATTTGGGAAACAGTTCAATTTCTACAAAAGAAAAATATGAATGTTTAAACTAACATTTTAAATACATAGACAATAAATTTGTTAAGTGCTTAAGATCTATTCTATTTTTTTAAAATTCACGTTACAAGTATTTTTAAAAAGTTTTAATGGAATTACTGAATAATTTCTGTGCTCTGGTTTCCAGCATAATTATTTTTGAGATGTGGTATGGTATATAGCAGAAACATTATAAAGTACTGATTTTAGATGAATAATTATCTAGAAAACTCTAATAGAATCAATCTATTCTAGAATACAAATGATTAGGGAAGATTAATTTAATATTGGAACTTCTATGATCAAGGACCAAGTTATATGTGACTGTGGTGATCACAGGATCATAGATAACATAGATAATAGAAAAGTATAATAATAAAATAAACCATGTGTATTGGGAAAGTGCAATCTATTTTTTGATTCATATAGTACCAGAGTTGTATTTGCATGTCTTAAATTTGGAACTGATCATACTAAATTTTGGAAGTTAGTCCTAATATTGCTCATCCCATATTTTACTCATGATATTACCATCTTTGAATTATGTTCTGTTTTAATGTTTTACTTTTTAGTATTTTGATGAACGTTTAAAGTTGGAATCAAATATTTCAAGTAAATAATATATTTAAAATTGATAATGTGTAGCACTAATGCCATAATATCCTCATCACATTTCAAAATATTAAATTTGTTGGTAGTTTTTTTGCAAACAAAAGATTCAAAATTTCCAATCATGAATTCATACATTATATCTTAGTCTGTTTATTAAGGAAGCAGGAAAGTCAATGCACCCTTGTGACTTTCTTTAACTTGAATCTACGGAACGTGTCCATCTGTACAGCCCATTCCAAAGGAATGTTAGAATTAGTCTAAGAAGTCAGTTCTTAGAAGTTCTAAGCTACTAAAAGAAGACAGATATCATATTAATACATCTGGATTTTTTTTCATTACCAGTTAATTATTTATCTTTTAGTTTTTTATTATTATATCATAAACCTTACTCTAATACAGGACAGAACTTAAATATATTTAAATAGTCAATTCCAGATACAACATTTTTAGGCTAGTCAACAACCATATCAAGTTTATTTGATCTGAGGAAAAAACAAATCTATGTAGGCATATGCTATTTTTTTGCAAATCACCAGCTAAAAGGGAAGAGGCTTGAGAAGATTACAACCGTTGATATGCTGGTAAATGTTTAAAACTCAACGCTGGCAACTCCATTGCCATCGCTGCACTGCTAACCCAAAAGCTGATTGGCAAGCCAGTCATCGGGACTCAGTTTCACATTCAACCGATTCACAAAATTTCAGGAAATTTAACAATTGCCTCTTGCAAGCCAGTGTGATCTGGCCCAAGAACTAGTTGTACTCCTTAATTAGTAAGATAGGAATAACTGGAATATTTTGAGCATAAGTGGAAGTTCCATAAAAATAAAAAAAATATATTGCAACATACTTTTTCTGGTGTAGAATTTAAAACCAGAGGTTTTAAACAGTGTACATAGGTACATACATGTACAAGAAA